GTGAGGAGAGGCTGGGGCTGTGTGCAGGGGATGTGCGTGGATGTGAGAGGTGTGGGTGTGAGAGAGGTGTTGGGGGCGGCATGCGGGTGTAAGGGGATGTGCTGAAGGTGTGGGCGCACGTAGGGGTGTAGAGGGTGGTGTGGGGGAATATTTGTAGAGGGGGGCTGTGGAGGAGGTGTGTAGGGTGAGTAGGGGAGGGAAACACGTGTGTGTGTGTTTGCATGCGTGGTGCAGGCTGAGTGTAGGGGAGGTGTGTGGGGTGAGTACAGGAACAGTGTGTGCGTGTGGTGCAGGTTGGGTGTAGGGGAGGTGTGTGGGGTGAATAGAGGAGAGGAACGTGTGCGTGTGGTGCAGGTTGGGTGTAGGGGAGGTAGGGGAGGTGTGTGGGGTGAGTACAGGAACAGTGTGTGCGTGTGGTGCAGGTTGGGTGTAGGGGAGGTGTGTGGGGTGAGTAGAGGAGGGGAACGTGTGTTCAGGTGCTTGCAAGCGTGCAAGGTGTGGGGTGTGCACAGGGGAGATGCACATCTCACACACGCGCGCATGTCTCTCCCAGCAAGCATGGGGCAGGCCAAGCGCAGGCAGCGCGGCGCTGTCCCGCCACGCGAGGCCTCCTCCGCTGCGCCCGAGGAGCGCGCTGCGCGTTCCCAGGAGGACAACTCCATCAGCCCTAACCCAAAAACCAGGAGCACGTGACAGCCCGCCCCGCCTGGGCGCCCTGCGGCTGCCACACGCTGTCGGTCACCTTCTGCGGGAGGCCGGAGCGCTGCGCTCGGTGCCAGGTGCCCGCTCACTCCCAGGTGCTGGCACAGCCCTGGCACAGCAAAACCCTCCAGCAGCTGCCTCGAGAGGACCCGATAAAGTCGCACCCGCTAGTCGCTGGGTGAACTTGTCTTTCCCTTTAATAAGATGGGACTGGAGGCGCAGTACGACTTGATTCGTTCCAGGTAAAACCAACTGCTAGTGACTGTTTGCTGTCCAGTGGTGTGTTCTTGCTTCGTGCTTTGCATGCTGCAATGTCATTGCAGCAATACATCTATGCTCAAAACGTGGCTGAACCCGGGGCAGTGGCGGCGGGACGGGGAAGCTACTGTAGCTTGTGCCACCAAAAAGCCTTGCTTGGTTGCTAAAACTTGATCTGGACGGGTAGCCTGAATTTAGGGACACGTCTGCATTATTTACTGCATTGTGGTATCTGTGGGTTAATCACAAAGCAATGACCTTGCAGCTCCCACGCTCTCTGAAGGAGCTTTTCTGTAGGGTTTGGAGTGCTGTCTTCCAATTGTAAGTGTGCTCTCCTTAGACTGCCATGTGTGATCATGCTTCTTCCTCCAAAAGTGCCTGAAGGAATACTCAGCAAGACAGTGGGGAAGGGAATCAGATGCAACACACAACAGTACATGCAACACACAGAACATGCAACACACAACAGTAACTAAAAATTAAAATAACTCTAGATCTCTTTTTTTAGTATTGATGACTGAATTAAGCTACTTTTTCGATGGGAGACAGTGACTTCCTGAGATCTAGGGATTGTTAGGGATAAGTTCACACTCTCTGAGCATTTGCTGGCAACATCAAAGTGTTCTCAGCTGTGTTCAGTAAGGGACATTAAGTCACATCATTGGACTTCAGTCCAGTGAAGTAGCATGCTAGGTTTTGCTCCCAAGAAACACCCCTGATAGGAGGGAAAAATAAAGAAGAACGTGGAAAAGCAATTTAGATCACATACAAATTGTAAGTGTTCCACAGTAGCATATATAAAAAAGCTGTAGGAAAACACTGCCAAGCTCTAATACAAAATAATGAGCCTCTTCCCACCTCACCAAGCTTGGCAAACTTAACCATGCCTGTGGAAAACAAGCAAACAAAAACCTTGCAAATCAGGCTAACAGGAAAATAATGCTGCAATTTATTCTTCCTGGCAATAATCAGCTTTGATGAAGGCCCCCATCTCCTTGCCGAGATAGCTATCCAACTGTTGTGGTGCCTGAGAAGCAACATTTGCTCAGCAAGGGAGCAGCTGCCACCTGCACACTGTATTTTTTTTTCTTCCCTAGAAACAAGCTTTACAGCACCTTGATGCAAGCAGTGCTTCATAATAATAGCAAGCACTTAGCATGTTTATCATGTATTACTCGTGCTTACAAGACACCCATCATTTTAGCTTTGACAGCTAAGACATTATCAGGGATTTCAGTGGAGCTATGCTGACTTCAAGCTGAAGATACGGCCAAGGGATTAATCCTATGGTGTATGCCTACATCCTATTAAATCCTCCAGTGTAAAAATTGGAATAAATCCTGACATTTTTTTCCGTAATATTCTTTACTAAAACATTTCCTATTTGCCATTTGCCAGAAGGTTGCCACTATTGCAAAAATAGTTGCTTACCCATAACCATGTGATGTTCAGACTGCCAGAGCCCTAACGAGTACCCTTAGTTTTCTCACAGAGAAGCGGCTTAGCAGTGTTTTCAGCACACAGAAAAGTCTACACCACAACTCATGAGACTGCCTGCGAGGCAGCAGTTCTGCAGGGAGAAGTCTTATGGGATCAGTTAAGGCTGCCAGCATTAATCCTAGAACTTCCAAACGTCATACAGCAGACTTTTCTTAGATGGACACACCTTCAGCAGACTTTTCTTAGATGGCAAATATACGTACAGCCTCATAGGAACTGTGTATTGGAAAGCATTGACTACTCTAACAGTGGGAGTCCTCTTCTGGTGGATCAGAGACCTAGTCATTTCCCCCACTTCTCTGCTGACATTGTCCTGTTTCAAGGGAATCCTGGAATCAAATTCCCAGGCACACTTAGAGCTTTTTCCTTCCTTTCTGTCCATCAATCAGTTGCTTCCAGAACTGGCGACCAGGACCCCTCACTGAAGCTAGTCTTGCCCCTTCTCCTGGGGATGTAGCTGTGATTCAAAATACGCCTTCTCTCTTGGGGGCCTTTGGTGGTATCTGGACTTGGCTGCAGGAGTGAGATATAGTTTACATCAGATGCTTACAAAGAGTTTCCAGGTTTGTTATTCAGGAGGAGGTATAGCTCTCATGCTGAAGAGAGAGAGGAATAAAATCTCACTAATTGTGTAAGAAAGAGGACAATTCTAACGAAGAAGACCAGGGAAAGGCACGTGCGGTAAGGCTATAGCGCGCACACACACACACACACCAGGCACCCTTGCGCCTGCTCCCAGCAGCTTCTCTGTGGCTTTGGGAGAGCACGAGAGCTGCAACTGGAGGTGTGTGAAACTGAGCAACAGAGGAGGTGAACGACGAAGAACTCTGAAGTCATTCTTGTCTTTGTCTCCTCAGTAAAGCTGCACTCAGTAGGCTAAAATTACCAGTACAGACCATTAAAGAATCCCCTAATGCAGGGGCTTTTGCACTCACTCTTGGAATAAATTATGCCAGACAAGTTTCCCCTCTACTTCTGTGGCTGGTTAAAAGACATGTCACTTTTGTGCATAATCTGTGAGGTTTTCTTCATTTGATAGCCATCATATAAAAGCTTCAAATTCCTTATTTGACTGTTGGTAGTTTATAGCAATTCCAGATTCATCCCAAGAAGGCAGAAACTAGTTGAGTTATTACTCCCTTGCCT